AATTATCTCTCAGCCTAACAAATCTTGTCCCGCAGAGTTAATGTGAAGATACAACTTGAGGTAAGGGAGAGAAAGCATCATTTTGACAGATTAACTTGAGTTCCTTGCCAGAATGGTAGAATAAATATCATAAATATTGCAAAGTGTTTGTTGTTTTAATTGATGAGTCCCCTCATTAATAGTAATTGTTAAACGATTTTAGAATGTTTATTTATGTCATTCTTATAGATGGTTATATTGTGTTTGGTGTCTGTGCTGTTTTTAAAATGTTGTGAGCCACTTTGGTCCCATCAGGGAGAAAAACAGGATATAAATAAATAAATAAATAATATAACTTTTTTTTGGATCCTGCCACCATATCCCTGAAAGGACTTGGGGCGGCTTACATGGGGACCAAGACCAGTCAAACAGAGTTAAAATATAACTCAAAAAAACACCATACAAACATCATGAAAACATAATTAATCATACAGCGACCAGAAGCCAAGCATAGTGAACATTTCAAAACTCAGGGGTGGGGCAGTGACTTGTGCAATACAACGGCAAGGACAGGGCTGATAGAAAAGTGCAAGAGTCAGATGATAAGTTAGGGCTGGAAGGGCCAAGTCAAATTAGTGCACTACAACTACAGGGCAGGGACAATAGTAAAGTGGAAGAGCTGAAAATTAAGTTATGGCTAGAAAGTCAATTCATCTAGTGAACTGATTAATCAAAGATACATTAAACATCCATGCTTTTAGGTCTTTATGGAGAGTGGACAGGGTGGACACTAATTTAATCTTCCTGGAGAGAGAGTTCCAGAGCCAGGGGGCCACCACCAAGAAGGCCCTCTCCCTCATCTCCACCCACTGCATTTGTGACAGAGGTGGGAGCGAGAGAAGGGTCTCCGCAACAGACCTTAGAGCTCATGCAGGTTTGTAGGGAAAGATGTGATTGTGAACATAGGCTGGACCCGAACCATTTAGGGCTTTGTAGGTAATACCCTGCACCTTGAATTGGGACCAGAAGCTTATCAGTGGCCAGTGGAGCTGTTTTAACAGGGGAATTGTCTGCTCCCAATAATTTGCCCCCTAATAGCAGCCTAATAAATAATTTGGATAAAATGGAAATGGAGCATTTATTGAAATCAGTCAGATTTTAGAACATTTATTTAGAACATTTATACCCTGTCCTTCTCCACCTCTGAAGAGGGACTCAGGATAAATCAAAACTGGGTTTTCAACACTGGGTTTGGTGTTTTTAGACTGACCTAGACATAATAAAAATGTGTTTTCAAAATGCTCATCTTGCAGTATAGATGAAGCTCAAGCATACCACCAGTGGAAAAGCTGGAAGAAAGCTCTGTGAAATCACAACCCTTTCCTGATCCAAAAAGCTTCATTTAATGTTAAGGTTGAACTGAGCAACACTATTTTCAACTATCCTTTATAATTATCCTGTATAAGAGAAAAACCTGTACCAGTCCATGAAGAGTGAGAAATATGACAGTTTCAATGGCTACCCGTAATCAATAACGGTCCATCAGGCAATATTTCCAATCACTTTTTCAAAACTGGAAAAGACAGTGCGATTTCTTTTTTAAAAAGATACAACCTGGTGAGATGCAGCACAGTGTAGTCATTAGATTGTTGGACTAGCATGTGGATGATTAGAGTTTGAACCCCACTTCACCACGAAACTCACTGGATGATCATGGGCAAATTATACTCTCTCTGTCTCAGAGGAAGGTAAAGTCAGCCCACCATATCTATGGGCTCTGCATCCATGAATTCAACCAACCATGACTTGAAAATATTTTAATTTTTTTTAAAAAAAACATCTAAACATTGATTTTGCTGCAGGCCAAACATTATGCTGGTATCTAGTTCTTCCACCATTTCACAGATCTTCAGGTCCACTCCAGCACCATTTGATTTTTTTGGTCAGTTTATACAAGAGACACAATTTTATTATACCAGTGCATATAATGGACCTTAGGTATCCATGGATATGGGTATTCACAAGTGGTCCTGGAAGCAAACTACAGCAGATACCCAGAATCCATGGTCATGGCAAAAAATGTTTCTGGTCAAACCTGGCTAAAAAAACCCCTTGTGATACAGTCATCTTAGGGTTGCCATAAGTCAAAACAACTTGAAAGCACACAACAACAACAACCACACTATCAAAAGTTAAACATGTTTCCACTAGAATTCCAAAGCCTAATTTAACATCTCTTCAACCCATCATTTATACGAAATGTTCACTCCATTGTTTCCTGATTTGGATACTGCAAAAACAATCCAATGATGTGTGGTTTTTCAAAACAGGGAAATCTTCAATTAAGCCACACACATAAGGCGAAGTGAAACCGAAAGAGGGAAGAAGGGAGTATCCTGATATTCAGTGCAGTAATGATACAGCAAACCACAGCTGGTTAAAGCAGGAATGTGAAGTCTGCACTAGGTTTGTGTTTTACAATTAAATTTGTTCACATTGCTCGCCTGCACATCATTAAATGGAGAATAATCAGGAGATCTACACACGTATATAGGTCAGATCTTACAGAAGGCAAATGCAGCAAAACATCACTAACTCATACTTTCCTAATCTATACAACCCATAATTGAAAAATTGGAATCTCCATCCTTTTCTGTCTGGTCAGCAAAGATTTAACTGCATATTGCTGTAATGAGGTTTCACATTACCAGGGCAGAATTACTGTACTGCTATAAATATAACCATTTTCAGCAACAAAGTAATCTCAAAGATGTATGAATGAAACAATGCATCTCAGACTCAGAAATAAAGTTAATTTCATGCTGCATGGCACCAGCATGGCAACCCATTTTAAATTGCTCTGTGCAATATATTTGGCAATATGGTAATTGGTTAGATAATGTAAAGTTAAACAAATAGACCTATGGAAATCACACAAAAAGCCCTTGATAGAATTGGGATTGATTTGCCCATTTCTAAAATTTGTAGGGAAAATATTTCAGGAATATGAACAGAGAAGAAAGAAAGGAAATGACTCGGGGCCTGTAACTTAAAAGGGCAATCAAGGACATGGTTTCAGGGGGATGCAATGGCTAATGCCGAAGTTTTACTCAAGCTTATCTATCAAGCCCATGGGCATTAGACATTCAGAGTAATTCACAGGTTGTCATCCAAGACAATGTAATACAGTACAACCCCCATATTCGTGGTTTTATTTATCAATGCATGACAAAATATATTCTCTCTGGGCATTTTGTAAGACTCTATGCTCTTCTTGGGCTTTGTTTCAAAAGGATCTTGCTCCATGGTTTCATGTATCCACGCGAAGTCTGGGAACATAACCCCACAGATACAGGGTTGTACTGTAGTGCAATTCTTAACACCTGGAAATACACCTCACTGACAGCAATTGAACTTCTTCAAAGGAATGTGGGATTATAATTGACTACTTATAACAGGTACTCAGGATGTTTCCTTATATTTATAGCCAGACTTATGAGCCAACCAGAACAACGGTTGTCAGTTCTGCCTGATAGCAGTCTTCTGGGATTTCAAGCCAGATGCTTTCCTAGCCCTAAAAATCCTACTATTCTCCTTGTTGGCTGCTTAACAAAGGTCTAACTAGGCCTCATCTTGCTTAGCTTCTAATGAAATTGGGTGCATGCGGGCGGTATGGAGGACTGACTAGTTCTTTCTGACTACATGCTGTAATGGTCAGCAGAACACTAAAGAACTGCTCAAATCATTCAAGAAAATGCTCAGAGAGGGAAATATATTCTTCCTGTATCAAAGAATATAATGCATTTTATTTTATATAAAATGAACATATACAAAAGAATGTGTTAGGAATGGGAAGGGGTGAAATAAGGACAAATAGAACATACAAGGAAATTAACTGGAGAAGATCCATCGAGGTGGGAAATTATCACTATATGGTTCACCTCTACTTCATAATATTTTACGACAGAGAAAAAGAAGATTGGAAGAGGAGTACAGAAATGTCCACATGCTGCAGAGGATGGTCTGTGGAGGTAATCGGAGGTCAGGATGACCCTTTGGAATAAATGCAGACAGCCACACAAAAGCCTCAGGCCTGCCCTGCCAAATTTGAAGTAATTTAGCAATACAACATAAAGGGATAAGATAAAACCACTCAATCTAGAATCTGAAATGTACTCAATTGTAAAGTAAAGGTAAAGTGTCCAACTCTGGGGAGTGGTGCTTATCTCCATTTCTAAGGCAAAGAGCTGGCGTTGTCCGTAGACACCTCCAAGGTCATGTGGCCAGCATGACTGCATGGAGCACTGTTAACTTCCTGCAGAAGTGGTACCTATTGATTTACTCACATTTGCATGTTTTTGAACTGCTAGGTTGGCAGAAGCTGGCTAACAGCAGGAGCTCACCCCACTCCCTGAATTCGAACCACCAACCTTTTGGTCAGCAAACTCAGTGGTTTAACCCACTGTGCCATAAGGAGGCCCTGCTTAATTGTACCATTTGATATTTGTTTTCACGAAGAGCAGGACATCAAAGATCTTCCCCAAAACAGCTAATAAAAATAATTTTGTTTCATTTCCCAACCAGCAACCTGTGGTAAATGCACACTGCAGATTTAATGCAGTTTGACTTTACTTTATCTCAATACTATGGAATCCAGGGAGCTGTAGGCACTAGTGGTCTTTGATAGAAAAGGCTATAGGCCTTGTAAACTACAGCTCCCACAATTCCTTAGCATTGAACCATGACAGGTAGTCGCACCCAACCGCATTAATTGCAGATGCAACCTTGGTTTCTTTTCACTTTTCTTTCAGCTCATTCCCAGTTCCTGCCCTAGTCAGAGCTTGGAAAAGTTACTTTTTCAAGCAACAGCTTCCCACAATTATTGGTTTGGTTACCCAGTGAAGTAATTTTACCAAGCTCTGGCCTTCGCAAGTCCAATACACACTCCTTGGTATGCCCTTCCAACTTTGAGCATCACTGTCCCCACGAGGAGAAGAGCGCCTTTGTATCCCTCCCATTACCTGCAGTAGACCAAACACTCCATGTGGTTGATCTCCTGGTCTGAGCGGTATCGACTGTAGTCTTCCCATAAGTCCTTGACAGCTGTGACCGCCAAGATGAAGAGCACAGGAGCCAAGGCCAACTCCGGCTGGAAGGCGTTGACAGCGGGCACAAAGTTGAGCAAGGCGATGAAGACAAAGTAAACATTGGCCAGGCGGTGGAACTGCTCAAAGAGGTTCTTGGGCAGGAAGGACACGGCGGTGTATTTGGTGGTCTTTAGCCTGTTGTTGGCTGGCAGAGCAGAGTTGTCCACTTCGGGCCAAGGGAGCAGCAAGTTTGAATAGACAGTCCTTGTCTTGTATCCTTCTTTCTTCTTTCTCCTCCTCTTCTTGGCCTGCCTTTCTTTCTGCTCCTGGGAAGACTCTCCTCCATCTGGGCCTTCTGTCATGATCTTCTCTGAAGAAAAAGGCACCCCAAAAACTCAGGCAATCAAAGTTTGACTTTGGCGCACATGGAGAAAGGAGACCACCCACTCTTTACACTATGTGATCATCTTTTCCAACTTAGTCATCTCTAAGGAAGGCTCTGTGTGTGAGAGAGAGAAGAGCACACACGGAGAGAGAAAGAAGGAGCCCTCCTCCCACTTTGAACCACTGGAAAAGTTTGTTTAGAGTAGAGATGTCTCTTCCCCTCTCGCTTTTTTTTCTTTTCTTTTTGGTCTCCGCGCCTCAGAGTTGGAGAGGCGGGACTTCTTCTTTTCTTTCTCCTCCTCCTCCTCCTCCTCCAAACTTTCTCTGCTTCTTCTTTCTCCTCACAGGCCGGCCATGGGGCGGCTTCTCCTAAACTCCTCACAAAGTCGCCCTTGTTGCGCGCGGACTCGTTCCCGCCCCTCTTCGGGGGCTTCTCCGCTCCAAGGAAAGGAAGAGCAAACCCACGTTGACGGGAAACGCGCCGACACTCCCCTGGCAGGCCGCGGAGGCGCGAGAAACTCCCCCAGAGGCTCCGGAGGGAGGAGAGAGACTTCCCTTCGCCCGCACACACACACACACACATACAAGATGGATAGGTATCTGAAATCACGGCGCGCCAGGGAAAGGATGGAGAGGCCTAGGCTGAAGCCCGCGCTTTCCTGCGAGGCCAAGTGCGTGCCAGGCCACCTTCCTGTGGGTCTCGTGCGTGGAAAGAGTGGGAAGCGCTGCGCCTTGCCCCCCACCAGGCTCAAGAAAGGGCTCCTTTCTCCTGCTCGGGAGTCCAAAGGGAGGAAATGGGTGGGTGGCTTTGAGCGCGCTTTGCTCAAAGGCGGCCAGCTTTCTCATTTTCTCTCCACTGTGGAATGAATGCACGGCACAAGGCTATTTGGGAGCCATCGGAGTTGTGGTTTTTAACGAGTTCTTTCGCCCTCTGTCTCACCAAACTACAGCTCCCATGACTCCTCGCTGCTTTCGTTCTACAGCGTAGACGCCTCCCTTGCTCTCTGGCCACCGCAAGGCATGGGGCTGCTGTGAATTTTCCAGGTTGCATGGCCACGTTCCAGTAGCATTCTCTCCTGACGTTTCGCCTACATCTATGGCAGGCATCCTCAGGGGTTGTGAGGTCTGTTGGAAACTAGGCAAGAGGGGTTTATATATCTGTGGAATGTCCAGGGTCGGAGAAAGAACTCTTGTCTGCTGGAGGCAAGTGTGAATGTTGCAATTGGCCACCTTGATTAGCATTAAATGGCCTTTCAGCTTCAAAGCTTGGATAATTACTGCCTTTGTTGGGAGACAGGCATTCTCTATAGCAGGCATTCTCAGAGGTTGAGGGATCTGTAGTCTTCCCACAAGTCCTGTAATGTAATAGCTTGAAAGTTGAACTGCGACTCCAGAGACCTAGAGGAAAAAAATCCACTAAAACCGGGTTTCTGCCTCCTGCGGAATCCTAGGGTTTGTAGTTTAGTGATGCTGTTAAAGGCTCCTCCCTAAACTCCAAACCCCAGAATTCTGCAGGAGGCAGAAACCCGATTTGAAGTGGATTATTTCTCTAGAGAGATGAGGCCCAGCCGTGATTGACCTCGACCAAGTCACCCTCTCTCAGGCTCGGAGGAACGCCATGGCAAATCTCTTATGAACAACTCTGGCTGAGAAAGCCTTGTGATGGGGTTGTCTTGGGAATAACTATCGCTTAGAAATGACCTGAAGGCACACAATCAAAAATGAACTCTGCTTGTGAATGGGCCCCCGCCTGTCTGACATAACATCATTTCATAGAATCATAGAGTTGGGAGGGACATCGTGGGTCATCCAGTCCAACCCCCTGCCAAGAAGCAGAAATCGCATTCAAAGCACTCCCGACAGATGGCCATCCAGCCTCTTTTTTTCAACCCTCGCCGTGGTTGTGTGTGTGTGTGTGTGAGAGAGAGAGAGGGTGTTTTCTGACGCCCTCGAAAGCGCGCCCTTCCCAGGACGGGGCTCTCCCCCTCGTTCGCCTTTTTAAAAGTTTCGAATTACTGAAAGCCGTGAGGGAAGGAGAAAAAACCGAAACCAGGTCGGAAGAGAGAGATAGGGAGGGACGTTCACTTCTCAGCCCAGCCAAGGCCTGAAACCACAGGCGGGGAGGAAAGGAAGGGGCTCCAAGCCTGGCGCTTCAGCCTTTGCAGCTCAGTTGCATTCAAGTTTACTCCAAAGTAAGTCGCAGCGCCTCCAATGGGAACGTCTTTGCAGGTCAATGGGGCATCTCTCTATCCCAGCAATGCTTGGACAGAATGCTTGCAGCACTTGGGGCCTGCTCACAGGGCATATTTCTAGAACTAGGGGGTGCATCTCCACTCCAGAATTAATTCACTTTCACTGGTATGGCGCATGGCTGTAGAATCCCAGGATTTGTAGTTTGGTAAAGCACCAACCCTCTTTGGCAGACAAAGCTAAAGACCTCCTGAAACTACAGCTCCCATGATTCCACATAAAAACCATGGCAGATAAAGTGATGTCAATTTGTATGTTTTTTACAATGGAGATGCAACCCATGACAAAAATTGCCATATTTTCTAGCCTTCCTCATCCATTAGCAGTGTCATTTGGTGAGGTACCAGCACTCCGGTGCTGCCCCTGGTGGCACAATGGCTTAAACTACTGAGCTGCTGAACTTGCTGACTGAAAAGTTGGCAGTTCAAATCTGGGGAACGGGGTGAGCTCCTGCTGCTAGGCCCACGTTCTGCAAACCTAGCAGTTCGAAAACATGCAAATATGAAGAGATCAATAGGTACCACGTCTGCAAGAAGGTAGCGGCAATCCATTCAGTCATGCTGGCCACATGATCTTGGAGGTGTCTATTGCGTGGACTCCTGGGGTTGCAAGGCATTTAAAGTTCCCAGCTGAAGCTCCTCAGTACCTCTCCAAATCCTAGAATCTCATGGGACTGAACCATTGCAAAGTGGAATAATGGCATTATCAGTGGGCAGTAAGAGCCATGTAATGTAACAGCTTGAAAGCTGGACTGCGACTCTGGAAACCAGGCTTCAAATTCCTCCTCAACCATGATTGACCTCGAGCAAGTCACACTCTCTCAGCCTTGGAGGAACACTGTGGCAAATCTCTTATGAACTAATCTTGCTGAGAAAACCTTGTGACAGGGTTCTCTTGGGCATAGCCATCACTTGGAAATGACTTGAAGGCACACAATAAAAATGAATGCCCCCCCCCCCCAAACATTAACATAACACTATTTCTGTATTTTATACATTTGGATACACAGCAGTTATGACATTCATGTAATTAACAGTTTGCCCTGCATAGCCATGGTTCCATATTGATAAATGTGTATACACAGAAATTGTATTCATGTACCTGTAACTAATATGGTCAGTCCTCTGTATCTGGACTAGGCTCAAATATCCATGGCTTCAAAATGTTTAGGGGAAGAAAAAAAAAAGCAAATCTCCATTTTACAGTGTGCTGAGCATAATCCTGGTGTGAAGGCATTCCCTGGGCCCTTCCACACAGCCCCATGTCCCAGAATATCAAGGCAGAAAATCACACAATATCTGCTTTGAACTGGGTTATCTAAGTCCACACTCAGATAATGTGTGATTTCCTGCCTTTATTATATTCTAGGATATAGGGCTGGGTGGAAGGGCCCCCCTATTGTGGCTTTCCATCATTTCAGAGATCCCCATGCTCTCTCCAGAACTTTTTTGAGGTGCTCACCACTTTATAGAATAGATGTCATTCTATATCATAGGTGGTCCTGGAATTAAACCTGGAATTAAACTGGAACCTATTTGATTTGGATTAAATATGGAAGGAAATGTGTGTTAGACATGATACATGAACAGATATCCTGAAATATTTTGCTGCCTGAAGTGTAGTAATAGATAGAATGAAAGTACGTGGTATCCAAAGTCAGGGAAGGGATTCTGGCACGTGTGGCTAGAAGCCTCAGCACCACTCTCCATACCCAGAAGTACCAAATATCCTCATGTTTACTTCTAGAGATTTTAGTCAAAAATAGTAACCCCAACCTTGGGTCAACTTATCCTCAGGTCATACCTTAACTCTTAGCAGGAAAGTAATCATTCCCTTTTTTATTTATGTATTTATTATTTACTGCATTTATATACTGCTTTTCTCACCCCTGAGGGGGACTCAAAGTGGTTTCCAACATAATAATAGCAAAAGGCAAAAATGGCAAAAGTGCTTAGTTTTTCCCAGGAGAACCTAAAAGAAATATTGATCCTTTTAATGCTATTTCTTATAGTGCCACTTCTGGCCTTTTTTAATGTCTAGGCAGCAAAATAGCAGCTGTGGTGAGTGACCCTCAACTTATTCAGAGATCATATCAAAATTCAAAATTCTGGCCCTAAAACCTGCCCTTGACTTACTGATGAGGCTGACTTATACATGAGTGTGTACAAGAAACACAGTAATAACAGATCAAAAAACTCTTTACTGCCATCTCAAAACAGCTGCCCGAGGTAGCCACAACCTATTGCGTAATTGTAATGATCAGTCCTACATGATGTCAGTGCAAAATAGCATTATCGGTATTTGTGGGATGGGTACCAGCATGTCTTTGCATAAATATATAATCACACAAATAGAGCACTTAACATACAGATGTTGAAAAATACATTAGCACATTAAGGGGCATCCCACGCCCATGCCAAAGAGATTAATTGTGTAATGTTTTGCAAACTGCAACTGCTAATCCACTACAAGGTTCAGATCACATACAAAATGAAAGGTCAACATTTTATGGAGAGTTATTCTTTAAAGCACAATGAATTGGCACCCACTTCCCTTCTGTCTCCTTGTCCTAAGCCACAACTGGGAACATGGGAAGTACTAGCACAGCTCAAAATCCAACAGCTGAAGCTTCTTTGTGCCAAGGGGAAAGATTTACAATGGCATTACTGCTTGCCATGTTGCCATCAATTGCACAAATGTCTTGCTAGAAGATTAACAATGCAAAAGCGGTAAAACTACAGAGAAACATTGTTAATGGGGGGGGGGGGATGAGAAAGAAGCAAGGCATATCTGGGGTGCATCTACACTGTAGAAATAATGCTGTTTGACACCACTTTACCTTCTATGGCTCAGTGCTATAGAATCCTCAGGGTTGGACTTTTATAAGGTCTTTAGTCTTTTCTGCCAAAGAGTTCTGATGCCTCACCAAGCTATAATTTCCATGATTCCAGGAGGTGGTGTCAAACTGCATTAATTCTACAGTGTAGATGCACCCACGGAGAGGGAATGCAAGCTCGCTGAGATGGCTGAGGCATTCTTCAGCATTTAGCAATAGCAATAGAACAGGTCAGCTTGGTGGAGTGAGGGCCCTTCCACACAGCCCTACATCCCAGAATATCAAGGCAGAAAATCCCACAATATCTGCTTTGAACTGGGTTATCAGAATGGCCTTCCACACAGCAGAATATCAAGGCAGAAAATTCCACATTATCTGAGTGTGGGCTCAGATGACTAATGGCCCTTCCACACAGCCATATAACCCAGAATATCTAGGCAGCAAATCCAACAATATCTGCTTTGAACTGGGTTATCTGAGTCCACACTGCCATATATCCCAGTTTAAAGCAGCAAATGTGGGACTTTATTCAGCTGTGTGGAAGGGGCCCCAGTTCAAAGCAGAAATTGTGGGATTTTCTGCCTTGATATTCTGGGATCTAGGGCTGTGTGGAAGGGCTCTGAGTGAAATAGTTGTGAAAGGTGAGGGTGGGAAGAGGTAATGCAGAGTTATTCTTTAAATACCATGAAGGTTAGTCGTATTTCAAGTAGCAATTATCACAGATTATCTAGACATGACTCACTAGAAACTACAATGTTTGGCAAGATGGAAAGCAGTAGAGCTAGAGGAAGATCACAT